AAATAACGAGAGACTTGAAGGCAGAGAAAGATGAGATTGCTGAAAAGATTAAGGCACAAACTGAAATGATTATGGAAGTTCTCAAAAATCGAGAGAAAGAGTTATTACAAAATTTACAAAGAATTTATTCCCACAAAGAAGACGTCTTGATTAAAAATAAAGAACGACTTCATAATCGACTTGAATTGATCAAAAGAACATGTCGCTTCACGGAAATTGCCATAAATGACGGAGATGAAATACAGGTGTTGATATTCGAGAAATATGCTCGGAAGAGGTTAGAAGAGCTGTCCCGTGCTGAAGTTCTTATTCCAGCAAGTGAAGGACATTGCCGCTATTATGTGACAGGAAGTTCACCAGGGAAAGCTGAAAACCTTCTTGGGAATGTTGTATGTTCAGCTGCTGAGCCAAATCAATGCGAAGCTGAAGGTGAAGGACTGAGGAGAGCGGTGGTTGGACAGGATTCGTGTTTTTTGGTGAATGTTAAAGAAAAGAATGGTACACCGCTGACTAATGGAGGTGATGATGTACAAGCACAAATTACCACGACACGCGATGAAACTGTCGAAGTTCGAGTTAGAGATCACGACAACGGTACCTACACAATAACCTATTCTCCCAATGCCAGCGGAGAATTGATTATAGCAGTACGTGTATACGGTGAACCCATCAAAACTCCTGATTGTAAAGTCCACGCTGTATGCCAACGTGATTACGAGAAGATTGAAAAGCCTTTACTGACCATAAGTCGGGTGACGCTTTCTGGCAAAGAGTCAACTTTGAAGTTACCATGTGGAGTTGCGGTTGACAATGACAATCAAGGCAGAATTCTCGTAGCTGACTGTCATAATCATAGTATTAAGATATTTTCTCGGGATGGAAAATTCATCAAGTCGTTTGGGTGTTTCGGCACTAAAAACGGTCAGTTGAACAATCCAACCGACATAGCAGTCAATGACGGGAAGATTTACGTGTGTGATAAAGACAATAGTCGCATTCAATGTTTCACTTCAGAAGGCGTGTTTTTGACGAAGTTCTCCCATGGTAGCACCCAGCTAAAACGACCATGGGGGTTATGTATTGATTGCAAGGGACGCGTAGTCGTGGCAGACACGAAGAATAACAAGATTCAAGTTTTCTCCAGTAATGGAAATTTTGTGACGAGTTTCGGCAAAGAAGGGAGTGGAGAGAGCGAGTTCCAGCAACCTTATTTTGTGACGTCACACCCGAACGGGCAGATTTATATCACAGACAACGGCAATCACCGAGTGCAAGTCTTCGACGAAAGCTACTCTTATTTATTTCAATTTGGTGGTGAATATGATGCTCTGAGATTGAAGTATCCTACTGGAATTACTACAGACAATCAAGGTCACGTGATCGTAGCAGATCAATGTAATAGCAGACTGCAGGCGTACCAAGCTGACGGCAAGCATAAAGTTGTCATCTCGAAACCATTTCTTAATACGTCACAGTATCAGAGTTATCCTAAAGGTCTCGCTGTGTCACTGGATGGTTATGTAGTTGTTGCAGATAGTGACAATGATAGAGTGGTTTTAATATGAAGATACTTCATAACTTTAATAACGACACTCTTCATAACTTTAGACCGGGATTGCTGCCTTTCTGGGTAGATTTCGATCCTATATTTCGCATTCTGGCGTGTGTAATCGAATAAGCATACGTAAAATGATTGCATTTAAAATTTCTGAATAAACTAAGTGAAGAGGAATTGTGCGTCAGCAGTAATTTTCATACGCCAGGATACGAATCGATCGTACACGCCAAATCGCAGCGTGTAAATGTACCTTTACTTGTTAGAGGTGTAACACAACGCTCATCTAACTACTTCATGGGATTTGTGTACAAGGTTTTTCATTTTCTTTTTCAAGCAAATCTTAATCCAAAAGTTTATCGACATCGACATCGTTTATGCCTTCATCGTAGTGTACGTAATTGTTAGTTTTGATTAGTACTAACTTGCTATAAAGATATATTTTGTGACAGGCTGTGAGGTGTCAATGGCTAAATGCTCTTAGTAACTGTTCAGTTAACCTCTTGCTGCCCCTTTTTCAGTATATTTTGACTTTAATCAGGTGAACTGTGGACTGATTTCACTGATAATTGATCAATGCGGATGTCCGTGATGTCTCACAATGATCTTGAAAACACTGACGGTATGATTTATGACCCCGCAATCGACGATAGAAACATGTTTTGTAGAAATGAAGAAGTATTTTGTTGTTGTTGACTACAACCAATTTGAAATCACAAGCTGTGTCTAATGCGTGGGATAATAGCTGAAAGCGGAAAAGCGATTTATTTCAAAACGTTTTGAAAGATAAAAACTCGATCGCCATAGCTATATATATATAGAAGGGTTTTGTAGATGGAAACTTCGAACTGGAGTTAACCAGGAGCAGTTGCGAAAAATCCTGATATTTACCCACAGCTATATATAGTCTATATTGCCTACGCCAATAGAAGGAAATAAAACTGGATTCAGCGTTAAGAAGTCAAAACACTAAACATATTAAGAGAGTTTTATCAGTGAAACAACAACACAGCATGCGAGATGATAATAGGAGACTAGCTAGGACTATTGAGATAAACCCATTGATATTATTAAATTCGTCCCAAATGTTTACACTGACACTGATATACATAACATATTACAAGACAACGTACGTGACTGGGATGAGGAACAGGACGTTTGTCCCAATTAATACCTGACCCCTAAAAAGCTTTGGAGAATGCGGGCTACCGCGCGCATGTAAAGCGCCGCTCTACCATTTGAGCTAATCCGGCCCCATTCATAATATCAATGGTAAACCGGTATCCTGAAAAATGTTCTAAAAGGTGAATGAAGACTGTAAAGTCTCTAGGATCACTATAGACTGGATCTTAACTGTATATATAGCAAGCGACAAGCAAGTTTCGTTAAAAATATTATACCCCAGACAACTATTTCAAAAAAAGCAATAAACAATTGGTTTTTAGAACTCTGTTTTTATTGGAATACCAAGCAGTTTGGTTGTCCGGCTTTGCGTCCCACTCATTGCCTCAATTGGAATTGTTTATTTGGACATGTCCCCAACGCCAGCGCTCATATAATGATGATGATGTAAAACTAGGTAATATACCAGGCCAGGGGTAATATGCCAGCCAGGAATCATGTAGTATTCAATATCGAGTATTCATAGTTTACCATTTCATCGTAATCAAACTTGAATACCTTGAAGAAGGGTACAGCGGATATAGTTAACTCGTGCTCTTATAGTTGGCTAAAATAGCTAGTTCACTGAGTTATTCTAGACAAAGAACATGATATACGAAGTACCCCTCAACATGAATTGCAGATCGCAGATATTCTATTGTTTACCATTCGTCATGTTGGTTTTATTTCTTGACAACAGTGCAATTTCAAATTTTGCATCTATTTCGCATATGGCTGAAAACGTTTATCATTCTCCCTGTCATTGACGTTTATGAAAATACAGCTTGCTCATGAGCACGAGACCGATGCTAGAAAACAAGATGTGACTCAGTAATGTAAGATATGGTTCAGCAGTGTTTACATGCAGTGGCGTGCTGGCAAGGGAGGGCATGCCCCCCCCCCTTCCCCTGGAAGGGTCTTTAGGGGGCGTCGAAACTGCATGAAATGAAACCAAAATTGTCAATCAGTTCTACTTAAAAATCGGCGAAATGAGTAAAGGAAAGAGCAGTGCGTCTTAAACTGTTTTAAAGGATGTTTCGAAAATATTTTGCGACACATATTCAGTTGGGAAATTTACTAGTGATGGGCGTCAAATTTTGATACGAACAAAATCCAGCACGCCATGCACTGTCACTGAGTGTTCAGTTACTCTGAATCCATCGCCGGCAGATTCTGATAGGAGTCAAGTAAGAATCAGTTTTCTTTATTTTTTATTTAAAATAGTTTGTTCTAAGCAAGGCAGGTACAAGGGCTACAAGTCCCATGCAAGGAGGTATACCTGATTTACAAAACAATACTAACAGTATATACATCACGACATTTATGACAGATAAGTTTAAAAGTTCGAATATTGTCACCAATCGAATACAAGGTTTATTCTTCCAAGATAAAATGCTTTCACTTTCTCATTTGAAACTAAAAATTTCGCTACCATGAATAGTTCTAGGCAGAGCATTCCAAAGCCGGTGGACTGTTCTATTAAAATAAGAGTCGCGGTGATATTTTACAATATTGTGAATATAAGGCTAAACCAAATTTCCCTGAATCGCCATGCAAAGACAGATTATTATTATATACAGGTAAGTGACCTACAAAAGCGTAGAAAGGAAAGAAGATGCATGTATATTCTTTCAAAATGAAAGTAATGCTGAAAGTGTCATACTATTTTCTATTTAACAGTCATTGTGTTTCACTTTATTCTCCCCCTCTTCATTGTTTTCTTTCTCAGTTTATTATCTCACAATCAGAATCCGTTGTACCCACTTCCATCATCGTTTTGTATTGTTGATCCAACAATGAATGATATTGAATGACCCAACATGACCTCATACTCAGGTAGAGCCACAAGCGCAGAAGCCCAGAGTACGACGTTGAATCAGTGAACCTGAATTCAACATCAGCAAACACTACCAAACATAGTATTCGTAGTGACCTAATATGTATGCATGATGTTGCATCCAACGGCAACGATGTTGGGTGATTTTGGGCTTGCTTGAAAGGGGGTTTGTTTGAATTGTACCAGTTCTAGACGTCTATCCAGTTCATGCCAGCATGCATTTCTGTATTCAGAGATGTACTTGCACTATCAGTCCAGATTGGGATCGGGACTTCACCGTCTCGGTATCTATTACAGTACGTATTAGCAACTGATATATATATGCGCGCATGTCATGCCAGTTAGGGTAATTCAAATATAAACACGATCTTTAACTTTTCGTTTTCATTTAGCGTTTTCACAATGATTCAAGTCGATTGTTTTGTATTCCTTAGGTTTTCCCACGATGGCGGAAAACAATAATAATTAAGCCGGTATACGTGCTCGGTCCTGAAACTGACATAAAAACTCACCGGATTATGCCAAATGAGTGCACTCAACTGGGGGAAGCCCCTTCAGAGACCGCTTGCATGGAATGCGGACATGCCCAAAGAAGTTTCGAGTAAACTTAGTATAAATTCTCAGTTTCGATTGAGGTTTTCGATTTTCAATTAAAAAACAAATTCGGAATTTATACAATCGCCATGCCCTGCTAGTCGAGATTTTCAAACGTTGAAGAAACTAGCTCGGTCTTAGTTTCATGCATGCACCATAAGGCCGGCACTTCTGCACGAAGGAACTATTTGGATTTACTTTTGCGGAAATATTTTGGAAAGCTTTTGAGTCGATATATTGCTTCATTTGAAAGTGTATTATCCAGGCAGCTTACGAGTTACCGGGATTGAATTTTTCGCAAAATAACTGTATTAACTGAGATCGTTGACGTTGTGTTTTCCACAAACAAACTAATTGCTGTAAGGTATGGTAATTAAAAACAAAATTTCTAAAGCCTGGCCTTTCGGTTTAGTGGTAACTGTCGTGAATGTATCAAGGTGACCGATGTCGCCTGAGCCAGGGGCAGTGGGGGCAGTGGGGGGCAGTGGGGGCAGCTCCCCTGTTGCCCAAACAGTGTGGGGAGACATGTTGCCTTTTTTACATGAACTACAGTTTTTACATTCAAGCAATTTCGCTCAAATTTGAATCTGAAATTCCTCTCAGAAACGTTATCAAGGTTTCCAACTATACGAAAAACGTCAAAAAAGAACAATTGACAAGTTGTCATGTTGTTTTATATACAATGTATTCCGTTTAGTCTTCACAGTTACGGTCATGCAATTAATCGAGTATCCCAATATCCCATACAGCAAAATTTTAACGGCGGACATTGCTGCCCACAAAAATTAGGGTTCAAAAGTAAGGAAGAGGTTATTTCGCTGGCCTCAGAGTCACAAAACGTAACAAAGCAACGGTTTTACTAACACAGTAACCCTATTCCAAACACAAATTATAACGTTAACCCTAATCCTAACCCTAACCTAACCCTACTCCAAGTTTATTTCCAAAACAATCTTGAAGAAAAATGTTTTGACGAAATGTCATTCTGAGTCAGCGGAATAACTTTTCCCCAGAAGTATAAGTGCTTTTTAAATGGCTGCCCACACCGCTCCACGCTGATTGACTACAGTCAGTAAGAAAGAATACAAAAACACTAGATAGATCCAGAGTTTCGGACAGTCGAACATCAAGTGATCGCGACAAAGGCTGGATAGCGCTATACATATCAAACTGTGGTGGTTTTTCCAACCACTGTAAAAATACTTGAAATTAAACTATATTAAAAAAACTAAAATAATTATGGACCTCAGATTTAGCAAAAAGAAACTTCCAATTTATAAACAGTACTAATGTTTCATCTGACGGTACTATGAAACGGACAATTGAAAAATCCGCATTATCCAGTGGATAGCGAGATCCGGCTTTCGTGCAACCCAGCCCTAGCTGTTACTATACATACTGTACGTACTATTTCATCTTACAAATATCCATGCCCAGCATAATGTGCGTATAAAAGAGCCATCGGTAAATTAAAAAAAAACAACAAAAAAAACGCTTATACACTGTCACTGATGTTTCGTTAGTTAACGAAACCGCACTGACTTCATTTCAAAGAAAGTTAATCAGGAAAAGGAATTATATAGCAATATGCAAAAAAAAAATAAGGAAGTTGCGGGTTTGCCATATAAACCTCTAAGTTTCAGTGTAAAATTGTAATTTACTTAGCTTGCTTGAAAGCGTTAGCTTTTCTTATATAACTCTTTTCAAATCTTTTGTGACGTGCACAATGTGGTGTAAGCTTGGGCCAGAACGTATAATTATATAGATTTAAAAGATTCGTAAGACTTTAATTTGAAAGAACAAAGTACAAATCATATTCCGTAATACAAAGCGAAACCACAAGTGCTTCAAGATGATAAACAAAGCTTGGGCTTGGTCAATTCTGGCATATTCTGCGTTTTGCCGAGGTCAATGAAGGTCAAGACTCAAGTTGTTGCCGAAGCCGAAGGCGAAGCCGTTTTTTTCTAATCGGTATAGGGTGACATGTAAATATATAATAAAAATAACATGAGATATATCAACACCAATCATTTAATTACAATAGGAAAACATGTACGAGCAAACCACGAGAACTCATAGTATTATAAAATAAAAGAAATCGTGATTATTTCATATTTCCAAAAAGGCGTTTTAACTGCACATTAGATGTACTTTTCTTGCATCATTGCCTTCACTCTTCAGTTTAACTTATATATACTTATAGCACATGTTGTGCATTTCCAAGGCTGTTCAGTCTTGACTGTGTATTCGAGACCCCGATTATACAAAGCATTTATGTTTTTCATTGTGTTTCTACAATACATATCATAATAACGAAGCTTTTGAAAAATTTTACCTGCCAGGAAAATTAGGCAAGGTGTCCCTGTCCGTGACCATGTGTGAGCAATAGTGAGGTGAAAATGATCTATTTTAGAAATTAATTGTTGAAATAAACTTTAAAAAAAGCTTTTTGTTTACGGCGATATGAGGCGATGACTTTACCTAATACAGGAAAACTATATTTGCATACTAAGTCTTAAGCTGGCCTCTATCGCCCACGCACTACAGGCATATCAAAACAACACACTGCAATTCGTCAACATAAATATACAGCACGCAATATGCTCGTACAAAGGCTTAGTTGAAGAAACGCATTCGTCAAAAATATTACACAAAAGCTTCTGAAATACTCTGGTAAGTATACAAATTTTATATTTGAACTTTTTTATCTTTATGTTGTGATGAAATTGCCTTTGCACATTTCAGTATGCCTAGGCAACTGGCAAATTTAAGTAGCTTAGCAGTCCATGCAAGAGTGTTGTATTTTTAAAACCGAAACGACGCGATGTCCCGTTTAATCATGTTTGAAACGAAAATGAATATCAGTTGCTCCAAACAATTTTAAGTGCTCCTGAACGAGAAATGAACGAAATTAGTATTTGTATGGAAAGGGCGAAGGAAGCCTCATGCTGTGTTATTACAAGTGAGTTCTGTTTCTGCATGCATGTCTTGCTTTGTGGGGAAAAAGTTGACTAAAATTGTGCTCTATCTAGGCTGCTCGCAATCGCCTATATTGAAGCTATTTCATTGGGTCACGTCAGTCACACTGCTGTAGTCTAAAACTGCTTGGCAGCGTTTGCAGGATAGCCCACATCTGGTAGTGCCTAGTGTGCACGACATATCTTTCGCCCACCCCTGACGAATAAAATTTTCCGCACGACAAAACTTAAAGCAGCCAATTTAGATCAAATAAAGAACTAGGTTGTGAGTTGGTTGAAATTGTCACCCGGCAGAGCATCAGATCAAGGCATTTGCGGCAATAGCGAATAAGTTAGCCTGTTTTCCGGTAATGTCAGTGTTGTCAGCGTTCTGTAATGTCATTGTAATTACAATTGGTTTTCAATAGCATCCGCATAAATTATCCGCATATATAGCACCTCCATGCAGCAACTCAAATTCTACTATTCCAGTTGCCAGCCAGAAAGTACAACTACAACGATCCGAATAGACTATGCCATGACCAGATTCTAGTGATATCAACAATACTGTTCATAAAGGATGTTTAATCTACATAATCGTAAGGCAAAATTGCCGAAGTCCTGAGCTGGGGGTTAAGGCCGTTTATGTCAAAATGAGTTGCTGGAAAGGCCGAGTTGTGGTATTACATAAACATGCCACGCAAATACTTGAATGCTGTCAACACAACGTCCTCTGGTAGGAATTGAACCTACGGCCCTGCGATTCCGGTGCAGCGCTCTAACCAACTGAGTTACAGAGGCCAGCTGTTGAGCTGTAACCGTAAGTATATGTATGTAACCGTATATATATATATATATATATATATATATATATATATATATATATATATATATATATATATATATATATATATACTAAAAACAGCATTCTAATATTACCAAGTGAAGTGCAAAAACCAGGTCACGCAAATACTTAACTGAACTGATTCAGTCTATTTGCAGTATGCATGATACACTGTATATATACAAAATTTAAAATCTGTTTCAGAAAAAAACACGAACTGCACTCCTTAGGGTGGAAAAACACGAATATTATCTGTGGGCGAATGCTTCCAGATCCCCCTACTATAATGGCCCCCTAGCTATAATACATACGACACCAACAACCATCTGTCATCTCTCCACACTCCTGGGGAAACCGGGCCGATACCAAAATTGGGTAATGTAATTTAATTAAGACTAAAGTTCATAAAATCATTTTAAAGGATCCTGTGAAGGTTTCTATGAAATTTTACCTTTAGTCACGAATCACCAAATGATTCTCATAACTCAGGTATCAGTGTGAGATCTCCTATACTTACACTCATCGCCCTGACATGAAATTGAATCGGTTTTGCATGAATAGATGACCCAGTCCACGATCTTTTTATATTTTAGTTGGTCACTACTATCGAAAAGGCGCATACATATAATGAAGTACGCATGCTCAATTGCTCAATTGGGATTATATAATGCACATATATAATGAACAATGTATAAGTGCAATATGGCATATTTTCATATGAAAGATTAAATGTCCCACGTTATTGAAAGGAACATTCCGTTTCACTAGCCGAAAAAATACAGACGCTATTGGAGCATTGGAAGAACGCCTGTTTTTTTAGGTTATGCGATGTCCCACGGGACAATTTTTAGCGACAATTTAGCAACGATTCGTAATGCAAGTCGTTGGCGAGCCAATAAATTTCATAAGAACATCATTTGCATTGCGAATTGTCGCTAAAAAATTGTCCCTTGGGACATCACATTAAAGCCCCGTTTACACTACGCTCAATTTTTGGTACCGTACCACTTTTTTGGTTCTTGGACTAAATAGGTAGTCCAAGAACCAAAAAAGTGTTACGGGTACCAATTTTATCCGTGCCGTACCAAAAATTGAGCGTAGTGTAAACGGGGCTTAAGTGTTTTTCTGCGTTTGACGTCATTATAAGAAAGGTCTGTTACTGAAGATTGGGGAATTGTTTTTTGGGGGGAGGAGAGGACGATAGTGTAAAAATATTGAAATTTTCAAAATTTAATGACGGTAACTTTTAATACAGTATTATGTAAAGTGGATTAAACACTCCATTGAATGGTTGTGTGAAAACATGGGCGTACCGGAATGAAAAAAATAGGGGGGGGGGCGGAAAGAAAATTGCCCGACTTTCGCGATTCTGCCCGATAGTACCAAAACATTTTTTCCGGAAAAATTATTTTGGCGACCTCACCCCCCCCTGTCGCCAAAAAAATTTCGATCAGTGTACCATTTTAGGGGTCAAAAAATTTTTCCGGACAACCAATATTTTTCGGAACATCACACAAATTCTCGAAAATCACAAAATTTTCAAAAAAATTGACTTAATTTTAGACAAAATTTACAGAATAGTAAGTAAGTAAGTAAAAACTTTATTTGTCTACGCTAACCCCTACAGCAAGAGCTGATTTCCAAGAGGGGCGTAGGTTTAAAAATACAAACGTTACACTCAATTAGGATAAATATATATGCAAGACTAACACATTACAATACAATTATACAATTATAATTACTCTACTATGGTCAAATAAATAAAATTTCATAAACTCATTATCTAACTGGCCAGGTGCCGCACACCCAGGTTAAATTGACTAAGAGAACATTTATTTCTTAGTCTATCTGGGAGGCCATTCCACAATTTTGCTCCTCTATAACTAAGACCTTTTTTAAGATATTCGGTCTTAGGTTTAGGCAGATAGAGATTTGTGGCATAACCTCGTAAGTTATAATGTTGAGATGAAGGCGTCTTTTGAAACATATCAATTAGTTGTTTGGGCGCTAGATCGTGGGTTATTTTGTACATGAGACTTGCTACAAATTGAGTTCTGCGTTCTTTCAATGTTTTCCAGTTTAGTTCATTTAAAGCAAGTTCAGATTGGCCGTGTTCGTTTTTACGACCCGTAATTACTCTAGCAGCCCTATTTTGTAATTTTTGGAGGCGATCAGAGAGTGTGATACCAATAGTATCCCAAACTTCGCAGCAGTAGTCGAAGTGGGGCAATATAAGTGCGTAATAAGCACATATTAATGTATTATGGTCCACACAGGGTTTGAGTCTTCTGATCGCTCCAATTCCGGATGAAACCTTCTTAGCAATTTTGTCAATATGCTTATTCCATGACAAAAATTCATCAATACATACTCCAAGTGCTTTTGTTTCTCTCATTCTTTTAATTTGTACATCGCCAACGAACACATTTGGAACAAGCGCTAGATTGTTGACGTTATGCCGAGATCCAATTAGTAGGTATTCAGTTTTAACAAGATTTAGGGATAGTTTGTTTGCAGATAGCCACCGCTTTACGTTAGCAAGATCATAATTAATGGCCATTTCTACATCAGCAACTGATTTACCAGATGCAGTTAATGTCGTATCATCGGCAAACATTCTTGTTGACGAATACTCCAAACTGTTTGGCAAATCATTAATATAAACCAAAAATAGGAGCGGCCCAAGAATTGAGCCTTGAGGGACTCCACATGTAATTAATTTTTTACGAGAAAGTGCCATTAACAGAGCACATTTGAGTTCTGTTTTCTAGATACGATTTTAGGAGGTTTAAAGCTGGTGTTTCTAAACCATAAAAATCAAGTTTTTTCAATAATACAACGTGGTTAATAGTGTCGAATGCCTTTTGCAA